GGTCTTCGAAGTTCTCAAAGACAGGGATTCTGTGGATTCGCTGTTGAGTAAGCCTGTGGCAGATCTTGTTCTGTCGCTCTTATGTCCCGAATTCGAGCAGACATCCGAGGCTGGGAATTGGGTCTCGACTGAAGAAGTGGATCCTGCTTCCCATGTTGTGTCTCTGTGGCACACACTTCAAACATCCAATGGAGGACCTCAGTATCGACTTTGGGCTGCTCGGGTCATTGGAAGATCCTTTGCTGCCACTGGGAAAATCGATCAATTGCTCCTGCGAGAACAGGATCTCTCACTGTTTCAGTCCCCTGAGACTTCTCTGTCGTCTGATATTTTCTGCCATTCGAAAGCCAGAATTCTTCGGGTGCTCTGCGATATGCTACATGTGCAAAGGCACTTTGAAGCCGGCCTGGTTGAGCGTACTTTGCAACTGATTGTCAGCAATATCGCGCATTATCCGGATTTCCAAGGTTGCAGCGAAGTAATTCCCGAATCTCTGATGAAAGCCCTCATCTGGAACCCATACATATGTCCCGCCGTTTTACTTTCAAACTCGGAGCAGGAGAGATGCGAAAATGCAGTAACCAGCGCCTCTGGGCTGTCGGTTCCTGACTGGGCTCGCAATGTTTCCCTGTTCTTATCGAATGCTGCTTTAGAAGACCCAGTCATTGGCTCCCTTCGCAAAGTTCTCAATGTGACTCCTGGCTTAGCAGTGCAGCTGTTGCCATACGTGGTTCATGATGTTTTGCTCTCAGAAAGGGACGATAAAGGCGAGAAGGGGGAGGTCCGAGAAGATATCTCTACTACTTTCCAACAGGTGTTGTCTGAGACTGATGAGGAAACATTACCTCACGCTCAGCTTGTAATCAACTGCATTCTATACCTTCGCAATCAACCTGTGCCAGATGAATCAACTATAGTCCAACGCGATAAATGGCTTGATATTGATTTCGGAGAGGCATCTTTGGCTGCACATCGCTGCGGTTTGCATAAGACGTCGCTGCTTTTCCTGGAAATACAAACATCCCGAGTTCTTGCGACATCTCGTCGGTCATCTGTCATTAAATATGAGCCACCACCTGCTTTACTGCATGACGTTTTCAAAAACATCGATGACCCGGATCTATTTTATGGCATTCAGCAGAGCTCATCTTTGAACAGCGTCATGGAACGGCTGGAGTATGAAAGCTCCGGGTTCAAGAATCTCCTGTTCCAGAGTGCAAAATACGACAGTGAAATACAGATGTCCGACAATGCAGAATCGTACGGAGTGTTGAAGGCTTTGAATGCTACCAACCTCCAAGGCATCGCCAATACGATGCTCTCTGCCTCCAGCAGTGCAAACGATGCCCCTGTTGCCTTTGACAGCATGTTGCAGGCTGCAACTAGTCTTCAAAAATGGGATATTCCGGTATCACCTCTGGATGCATCACCATCTGCCACTGTATTCCGTACATTCCAAAGTCTCAATACCTCAGGCTCTCTACTCGAGGTCACTGGCTCAATCGAAAGCGGCCTGTTGACAACTCTGGGCTCTCTTCTCAAAACCAGTGGATCCGCTATTCAGTTACGAAGCTCGATGCGCACGTTGGGAATTATGACTGAGATCAGCGACACTTTGCACTCCGTGTGTTCTGAAGATATGGAGGAAGGGTGGCAGAATATTATGGCGAGAAGCAACTGGTTGAAAACTGAGAGGTGAGTGTTTTCCTTTCCAAACATGTCTACAGAATACATACTGACTATAGCAGTTATCATGAAGTTGGAGAAATCTTGTCGTGGCATGAGGCGTTGTTTTCATCAATCAGGAAAAACGACATCCTCAAGTCACGGGCAAAACTGAGTCTCGAGGATTCGCGACTTCTAGAAGCGAAAGTCATTCGACAATCCTTGGAAATCACAAGGACTCATGGTATCTCCCAGGCATCGCTCAAATCTGCAATGAGTCTTTCGAAGATTGCCGAACCGTGCGCAGCGTTGGGAATGAACATTGACGGAGCTGCAAAATTCGATCTTGCCAATGTTCTGTGGGATCAAGGAGAGATGACCGCGTCCATTCGCATGCTCCAGCAACTGAAGGGCCAGAATGACCTTCATAAGCAGGCAATCCCCCTCAGTCGGGCTGAACTTCTCGTGACTTTAGTAAGTTCGATGCCCTTTCAGAGACTGCTGAAGGGAACACGCAAAGACTTTCCATCCAAAATGCTAATATCATGTTTAGGGTCACCACGTTGCCGAAGCGCGCTTAGAAAAGCCCGACTCGATTCTTCAAGAGTACCTATATCCTGCAGTCAAGGAATTGAAAGGAGGCTCCGACGGAGAAGAAGCTGGACGGGTATATCACGGTTTTGCAACTTTTTGTGATCAGCAGCTCCTGAACCCAGATGGACTTGAAGATTTCAAGCGGGTGGAACAACTACGTGATCGCAAGGAGAAAGAAGTCCTTGGCCTGGAAGACTTGATGAAGAATGCCACAGGCAAAGAGAGAGAATACTTAAAGAATTATCGAGCCAAAGCAAAGCAATGGTTCGACCTTGACGACCGCGAATATCAACGTTTGCTGCGAAGTCGGGAGGCTTTCCTGCAGCAGTGCCTTGAAAATTACCTTCTCAGTTTGAGGGAAAGCGATACTTACAACAACGATGCTCTACGTTTCTGTGCACTCTGGCTTGACAAATCAGACAGTGAGACTGCAAATTCAGCTGTATCTCGGTATCTCAACGAGGTACCCAGCCGGAAATTTGCACCACTAATGAACCAGCTATCCTCTCGTCTGCTCGATGTCTCTGATGACTTCCAGAAATTGCTCACTCGATTGGTATTCAGAATATGTGTTGAGCATCCTTTCCATGGCATGTACCAAATTTTTGCCAGCAGCAAGTCCAAGGGAGGGAAAGATCAGTCGTCTCACTCACGTTTCCGTGCTGCGAATCAGCTTGTGGATCGTCTAAAGAACGATAGTCACATCGGCCAGACTTGGATTGCTGTGCACAATGTGAACATCAGCTATGTTCGATTTGCAATCGACAAACCAGACAGCAAATACAAAAGTGGTGCTAAGGTTCCACTGAAGAACTTAGCTACTGGCCAGCGTCTTGGGCAAGATGCCGTCACCTATAAACTGCCACCACCGACAATGAAAATCGACCTCCGTGCAGATTGCGACTACAGTCACGTTCCTACGGTCACGAAGTTCCAACCTGAGTTCACGATTGCTTCCGGCGTCAGCGCCCCGAAAATTGTGACCGCCGTTGCATCCAGCGGCGAGCGCTACAAGCAATTGGTGAGCTTTATGTTTATTTGAAGTCCATCAACTTTCTCAACCAAAAAACTAACAAAACAATAGTACAAGGGAGGAAATGACGACCTGCGGCAAGATGCCATCATGGAGCAAGTGTTTGAGCAAGTTAGCAGTCTTCTGAAAGACCACCAACCCACACGCCAGCGGAGCCTAGGCATCCGGACATACAAGGTTCTCCCATTGACACCAAGCGCAGGAATTATTGAGTTCGTCCCAAACACAATTCCCCTGCACGACTACCTGATGCCCGCACATCAAAAATACTTCCCGAAGGACATGAAACCCAACTCTTGTCGGAAACACATCGCCGATGTGCAAACCAAATCATTTGAGCAACGTGTCAGAACTTACAGACAGGTGACCGAGCACTTCCATCCAGTAATGAAGTATTTCTTCATGGAGAAGTTCAACAACCCCGATGACTGGTTTAGCAAACGGTTAGCCTACACACGAAGTACTGCTGCGATCTCTATCCTCGGTCATGTTCTCGGGCTCGGCGATCGACATGGACACAATATTCTCCTAGATGAGAAAACCGGAGAAGTGGTGCACATTGATCTCGGTGTGGCCTTTGAACAAGGTCGTGTGCTACCTGTTCCTGAGGTAGTACCGTTCCGGTTGACCCGCGATCTAGTTGATGGATTCGGCATCACTAAAACCGAAGGCGTTTTCCGGCGCTGTTGCGAATTCACACTGGAAGCCCTTCGCCAAGAATCGTACAGCATAATGACGATCCTTGACGTGTTACGTTATGATCCGTTGTATAGTTGGACTGTCTCCCCGCTCCGGATTAAGAAAATGCAGATGCAAGACAACCAAGCCGGTGATGGACCTCCAGCTCTGCCTGGCGCAGCTGACGCTCTCGTCTCGAAGAGTGGGAACGAGAATGAACCTAGTGAAGCTGATCGTGCGTTGACTGTCGTGGCGAAAAAACTGAGCAAAACACTCAGTGTCACTGCTACTGTCAATGAATTGGTGCAGCAGGCGTGTGATGAAAAGAATCTTGCTATGTTGTACTGTGGTATGTTTCTTTTTCCATTTCTTTTTCCATATTTGATCATCGACCGCTTTACTAACTTTCAATAGGCTGGGCATCTTATGCATGAGGCTTGTGGCATTTTGTGTGAGTTTTGTTGCGATAGCATCGATATCCTCCGAGGTTTGATTCCATGTGCATAGTAAAGAATCATCTAAAAGGACATCCTTTGGTTAGGTTATCCCGATCCTCTTGCTCCAAATGCAAAAGACATACAAAAGACATACAAAAAGATCTCTCGAGGCAGCCTTTCTACCCAAGGCAGATAGGACCACCAACTCGGCTCCTTCTTTCTTCTCTCCATGAAGAGATGTCTCATAGCTGGACGGAAATGTTTCGTGCATTGGAGAGAGACGATGAAACGATCGTTGAGGGCGTATAATCCAAGTGGAAAGACATCTAAACTATGCTTGCCCTTTATTCGAGTAATCCATCCCAAAAGGGAGAGTCGTCTTCCAAACAGTCATCGTAATCCGCCATTATCTTGCGTACTTGACAAAAAATCGTGGTTCGAAGATTTTCGAATGCTTCACAGCTCAACCCCTGCGGTGCCTCCCCTATTCGCTTTAAGACCGTATCTATCGTCCCTAAGAGCACCAACAGCGAAGGCATGGAACCTGCAATCAAACCTCGATCGGCCTGATCACCGTAGCCACCTAGGTCGTAATGAAGGATAATACCATCCTCGGCATCTACCATCACCATGGCATCGCTGCCAACACAACCGAAGCTATAACAAAAGTTGACTGGCGGGGAATCGTCATCCGCCCACCGACGGCCAAATATTTCATCGGCATCGTATGCATATAGCTCAACACCGGCATCTACACTCTTCTTCAACTCGCTCGAGTCCCATTGAATACCAGTACATTGGACTAATGGAAACCCAACGGTTGTGAGAAATCTTCGCGTGTCTGCATCTGTGAGCCTGGTGGGGAGCTCCGATTCAGTGGGTTTCCAGAGAGAGCCGGCCCCGAAGTGGGCTTCAAGCCAACTGGCGTCAGGAATTTTGGGAAGAGGTAACGCGTCCTGACAAAATCAGCGAGATCTCATGGGCAGATACTTTTGAACTTACACCTATCACGATTGATTCTAATATCTTTGCCTGATATCTTGGGTGGTTGAATAATCTGTTCAAAACTTTGCAACATTGAGACAGGTGAAGCGCGTCTCTGACGCTATCGAAACTCTCGAAAACCCACAGAATGACTTCGGTGGGTAATCCTAATAAATGATGCATGAAGGATAGGTAGTTGAGTCTAGCTTGCCCGGTGGGTTATTCTCCATATTTAGACCTTCTAGCACAAGCAAACTATGTACCGCATTAGCGCTCTTGAAGCCCACATTCTCGTATAAGTAATGGATACTCATTTTAAATCTCAATGGCCTAGTACTTTGTATCCGGAGATCTTTTTTTTTTGCCCTTTACCACAAATTAAAAAGAACACGAAACATGGAGTACATCCTTCTCTTGGCTGTTTCCTGTACAATATTGAGAGTAATATTATATTGTCCACTCTTGGTCCTGGTATAAATGCGATGATCATCCCGAAGCATGAGCATACAGTGGAGCTTCTCGTATTCACCACTTGGCATCAAAATTTAATTTTCTAGAACAATCATATCGAGCCTTGGCAAAGAATAACTAGCCTTGAGATACCCTATGTGTACTACTTCTAATGCCCTACAAGTTCTGTGAGGAAATATGGCATCTCAGCTGAATCTGTAAGCTGCCGTCAGTTTGACATAGAAATAGTGGAGCTGACGCCTGCGCAGGGTTCAGCTTCCTGAAATTTGCTTTGTTTCTTTCAATTCATCAACTCCGGTAATCTCGGGATTTGCAGTGATTCCGAGACCTCGTCGCCATAATTCTGCAGACTCTCTGGAATACATACCACACTACAAAAATCATGGAAGAATCGTACTATGTTGGTTGCCAATCATTCAACCCCTTGAATTCAAGGTGCTTCAATAGTATCTAGTCTCTAGGTCCCTCTGTTCCTTACCGTGTTGATCTTGAAAAACCAAGAATTGGACTATGTGATAGATTACAGTTATTACATTCCTGACCAGAAACTTTGGCATATAACAACGACAAAGCATTTGTAGATAACCAAGGTTCCAGGGGCAAGCAGAGAGAGCACACTGAAAGACCACAAACATCAACGCTGAAGGCTGCGTGGGTTCGGGTATTGAACAAGCTGGTTGTGATCCTCAAAAAAAGGTAGAGGCTCCTGGCCATGTCCATTGTGTAGCGCTGCCAGTGTCTCAGCCAGTGTTTTATCTAGGGGTTGTTTTCGGAAAATCGTAGGTTTCTTCGATAGTCGGAGGACGTAGGTAGGGATAATAGACATGTCTTTATGGGCAGTCTCATAAGCATAGCCGACATTGTTGAGGCCTACCACGAAATATGAGTGCTTTCCGGGGTATATTTTCACTGCTAGGAAACAAGTTTGGCTGTCTGGGCGAAATTCACGAATGGACGTATCGACCCCAGATAATTTCCAGGGTCGAGAAGGCTGTTAGGGGTATCGCCAAATATTCAAATCGGTGGTGAATCAACCGTTCGAAGGAAACATTGTATAACATCTGGAATGTGACTGATGATACTCTCACGGATTTTTTGCTTCGAGTCACCCATTGTGAAGATAGAAATGGATGAGGCGGTAGAAGCTAACGCAAAGAATTATGCGGTGGATGATATAATGTAAAGAAATAAAGCTGGGTTTCGTTCAAGGATTGTTATATATTTCAGAGCACACCACTCTAATTAGATATGCACCTACAGCATATGCGTATATATGTACGATATAGGCACCTCAAGTACTTCTTTTCCCAAATAGGAACAGCGTAAGCAGAAGCTGTTTCAATCATGCTCTATAATTGGTCAACTTTTAAACTTCATCCATGGACCTACAGGATCAAGACCATGGATTCATGTAACAAAGTGGCAAGGGATGTCCCAACCCGGAAAGGGGAGATCATATAAAATCTATGTGATCATCTATAAGAGGACCTTGGGGGTTTTTCGATGTATATAAAAAGCCCTGTCAACCCTCGACCTCTCTATTTTTCCTCTACAATATACTCCTCTGACTCTAATGTTTATTCTAACAATAGATGCAATTAATAATGACTGTATGCAGCTGAATGGAACCGAGGTCCTTCTAGGACTCCGCATCTCACCCCTCAATTCATCCGGACACAAAGGAACATATCATATTACTATAACGCATGGATGAATAATCAGCTTCCTCGGCATGCACAGCGTGTATCCGGGTACAAGCTGCATTAACCAACGTGTGTAAATGATCCGTCGATCCGAAAGCAAACCCCGCAATTCGTTGATGCAGTTCTCCTCTTTTAAGTACTTGGCGCGATAAGTCATAATCTACTTAAGAATCATTCCAGCGTTCAATGAAGCGTTTTCTCTAGATATATCTCCATCGAAACCCCCAATTGATATTAACTTCACAATTATACCGACCTCCTTTCTATCTATCACCAGCAGTCAGTTAATATGGCCGCTCCTGAGATCCCCGCCAAGCAGAAGGCCGTCGTCTACGACCAGCCTGGGACGGTTTCGACAAAGGTTGTGGAATTAGATGTCCCAGAGCCAGGTACCGGCGAGGTTTTGATTAATCTGTACGCCTTATTTCTCGCAATTTCGATCCTAGAATTGCACTGACAACATTAGAACACATTCGGGCGTGTGTCATTCGGACTTCAGTATCATGACCAACAAAGTACGTGCACATCCAAGTCTCTTTATCCATGGATGTTGCGAGCACTAACTAATACCCGCAAGTGGAGCGCGTTCCCAAACCCAACTCAGCCAGGCCAAGTCGGCGGCCACGAAGGTATCGGTAAGATAGTCAAGCTCGGTGCAGGCACCGAATCCTCAAACCTGAAGATCGGGGATCGAGTCGGCGTCAAATGGATTTCCAGCGCATGTGGGCACTGCCGTATGTATACGCTTTACTCTCATCAACAACCAAGACCTCGGACCTAACACCATGCTTATCCAGAACCCTGCCAGGCCAGCGCCGACGGGCTGTGCTTCAACCAGAAAGTCTCCGGCTACTACACCCCAGGAACATTCCAACAATACACACTAGGACCCGCAAACTACGTAACCCCCATCCCAGACGGTCTGGACTCCGCCGCAGCAGCACCACTCCTCTGCGCCGGTGTAACCGTATATTCCGCGCTGAAGCGCAGCAAGGCGCGGCCCGGACAGTGGGTCGTGATCTCCGGCGCCGGCGGCGGCCTAGGCCACCTCGCAGTGCAGCTTGCGAGCCGGGGAATGGGCCTACGGGTAATCGGTATCGACCACGGCAGCAAAGAGGGACTAGTTAAGGAATCTGGGGCGGAGCATTTCGTGGACATCACGCAATTCCCGAGGGACGATAATGGCGCCGCGCTGACGAAGCATGTTCATTCGCTGGCGGATGGACTGGGCGCTCATGCGGCGATTGTCTGTACGGCTGTGAATGCGGCGTATGCGCAGGCGCTGCCGTTGCTGCGTTTCAATGGTACGCTTGTTTGCGTGGGCATGCCGGAAAATGCCCCGCAGGCTATTGCAACTGCGTTCCCGCTTTCGATGGTTGGCAAGCAATGGACTATTACAGGGTCGGCGGTTGGGAGTCGGAAGGAGGCTATTGAGACTATGGAGTTTGCTGCGAGGGGTGTTATTAAAGTGCATTATCGGACTGAGAAAATGGATGCTTTGACTGGAGTGTTCAAGGAGATTGAGGAGGGGAAGCTGCAGGGTCGGGTTGTATTGGATCTTTCTGGGTGAATGCTGTGTATATAGGATATTGAATCTAACTTTATCTGCGACCATGAACCTTTTGTATATTTGGTAAAAAGATCCATAACCAGTTAACCAGGATGTGATATTACTGTTGGGATATATATATCTCCTTTGGCTAGCTACCACATTCGAGCTACCATATTTCGGACCAATTGAATAACTTATTCCCATCGAAAACACTGACAACAATTTACATTCCATCAACTGTTTTTTCAACCAAGAAAATGCAAAAAAAGGCAAAAAGAAACATTTTTGATTGGAGGAATTTAAAAAACGCAAAAAAAAAGAATTGACCGACGCAGGGATCGAACCTGCAATCTCTTGATTCGTAGTCAAGCGCCTTGCCATTGGGCCAGCCGGCCAGGGTTATTGAGAAGGTTGGCCAAAATGTGTATTATAAGCCAAAACAACTGCCTGGGCATATGCTTCACCCTAACTTATACGAATCAAGAAAGAACAATCTCCAAATAAGAGTAATTAGCCGTTACAACCTGACTTATCTGGCTCAAAATAATACGAGGGAGGCAATATGTAGGATAATACGCCTGCATCTTTTAAGATGTCTCTTTTTATGCGAAATGTTGAGGCGGATCCTTGTTAGGCTTCCACAGGCTATTTATTTCAATTTATCTGTAGAGAATAACAGACTACTCCTTCTCTCTTCTCCTTTTTCAAAATTTTTTTCCTTCGCGAGGAGGGAGTCTTTTCGGTGTGTTTATGGCATGCTTCGGATTGGCTAATACAATTTACGTTCATAGTCATGAAACATCGAAACATATCCCCAGGAGAATCCACCACAGAGTTTACATTAGGAATTCCTGCCTTAACACCGGTCACACTCCGCGGAAAACGAGAGTTACGCAGAGTATCGGACGACTCGATCATGGTGCGCCATAGACAAAACCTGTTACTAGGAATGATAGTGGACTTTCTGTGATTGAGCGAATGAGTGAAATAAAAGGAATACCGCCGAAGAAAGGCAGGGAGAGTATAGTTAAACAGAGACAAAGTGATTATCGAATCAAAACGCCGTATTGATTTGTTCTTATTTCATAATATAGACCATCCGATGACTATTCAATGATCTTGCTTGGAAAATTTAAGAACCAAATAAAAATAGAGTATTTGTTTTGAATTTGAATTTGCGTAAAATCAACGGCATCATCAAGCAATGTTAGCAGCAAGCCAGGTGCAAAGAGCTATGCAAACTCCCAAGAGCTGAGCTTCTATCAAAGAGAAAAGACAAACGTTCCACCTCGAAGCACCAAATCCACCCAGATAAAATGCACCATAGCGATTATTGTTTACCATTCATCCGAATTATTGCAGTTAGATTTTGCTTTCTTCCATCCCGGGCAGTCTCAATGATCGTATACGACCCATTATCTCCAAATCGTCCCCAGAGACCTCATGCTGATCACTCTGAGCTGCCACAGAACCAGGCTGTGGACTCAGAGAAGTGCAAGTGCACTCAATCGACACCGTACGCTCGTAGTCATTAGTACAGTGCTGAGAAGCGATAGGCACGCCTCCAGTCGGCACCACAGGCTCATAGTACCCAAGCCGGTACCGAGAAGCGATAGACCCCTGTCTAGCTCGTGAACGAAGTTGAGCGCAATCGTTCCCATAGTTCCTCGACTCAGAATGGTTGGGGGTTTTAATGCAGTCCCGTGAAGTGACGGATTCCGGTGAATGAGGCTGAGCGCAACAATCCCCATAGATTCTCGACTCGAAATTGTCAGGGGTTTTAATCCACGCTAGGAAAGTGGCAGCTGTCGGCTCCAGCATAGTCGGTGAACGTGGTTGAACGTATACATCCCTATAGTTTCTCGACTCAGAATGGTCAGGGTTCTTAATCCAGCCCAGAGAAGTGGTAGACTCCCGTCTAGCTGGCGAACGAGGCTGAGTGCAATCATCTTCATTCCTCGGTTCAATATGGTCGGAGTGTTCAATCCAGTGCTGGGAAGTGATAGATTTCCGCCTTGCTGGTGAACGAGACTGAGAGTATACATCCCCAAAGTTCGACTCAACACGCTCGTGGGTTTGAATCCAGTGCTGCGAAGTAAGAGGCAACCAGTTCCCGGAGATATCTCCCGCTCTCTCCACACAATCCCAAAAGACATCCTGCCTTCGAGCAGAACCAGAAAGATACACATCGCAGTCTGTGAACAGGGAATTCCACAGTTTGAATAGCGCTTGTATATCCGGCTTATTAGCCAGTTCCTGTATACGCTCCCACCTTGGCTGCAGATCTTCTAGGCGAGATTTCTTGAACTTAACAGATAGAACAGTCATCTGCTCCAGCGGCGTTTCCGCATGTTTAATGTGACTGAAGTGTTCGTAATCGACATGGTTTTCGATAAGTTCAAAGATGACCTGCAGTTTTGTTTGAATGTTTTCGTATGCGCGCATCTGCTTCCAGTATTGGTCCACGATCGAGGATAGCTCGATGAAGTCATCCTCTCCAAGGTCAACGATGGATTTTGCTTCGGGTCGGACTGTGGAAATGTGTGGTTTATCGGGTTCGTGGAGCTCGGAGTAGTATTCACCTGGGGAATCGGGGTTGCAGTACTTCCAGACTCCTTCTTTCCGGGCGTGCTTCTCGATCTCATTCTTCCATGATTTCCAGTTGCTGCGGGTGAGTATCTCGGGGCCTTCTAGATCTCGCCGCATGCTCATTTTTGGCCTGAATATTTTCTTGATGATGGGTTATTTTTTTGTAGTTGGTTTGTAGATGTTAGAAAAGTAAACAGGGTGCACTGAACTGGAGTGCTGGTCTAATAGTGAGTCAATTACCGAAATAGGTGTCGGAGGTCATCCATAGATCGAGGTTTAATACGTCATTTCAAACCTTTGGATGGATATGCGCATATCCGATAAACCTCGTCGTTCTCTTCAATGTTTCCTTTTACGGACAATTTCTTAATAATAGTCGGCGATTTATGCGGCCTCTTTCCTTGACTACGTAGTTCAATAACCTGACCCATTTGACTTAAGATGATATAAAGGACATTATAATTAAGATAGCACCACATTGTCATTTTTTGGATGTTATCACCCATTATTAGTGCTGTAGCTTACATAGACAGATCCCTGTACAATCAAGATGCACAGCACCCCTGCGGCAGGCGTCCACCTACATACAACATACACCGGAACAAGCCCACCCCATAAGCTAAACACAGCACTAAGCAAACTAGCCCCAAAGGATCCAAAGTCACGGCCGTGTGCACGGCTCAATATTGACTTTCACGGCCTAAACTCGGCTTAAATCGAATAATAAGTACATAATCCTAATCGCACACCTAAGCATCAATCCCAGTCTATAACGTGGGAAAAAAAAACGTGGTATGGCAATATCCACTTTTGATTGTTCACGTGGAATCCTTTGTCCTCATAAACTCCTAATATATAGTACAGTTTGTAGCATGTATGCCTAATCTTGTGATTAGGACACCATATTTCCCCGGCACATTATTGGTGAGTGTTATCGAACTTAACTTGTGCATTGGGCGTGGATTGAGGGGCGGATTTGAAATTAAGATGCCGCGTGGTCCCGATAGTTATATTCGTACCCAAAATGTTAGTACGGAGTATTACTCCGTAGATACATAGATCATCGGATGTGCGAAGCGATCGGACGGATATGGAGCTCAAGATCTACATTTGGAATTATGTGTCCATGGATGGCCCCCCGTCTTGATCTCGGCATTATATTTTGGTCTTGCTGATTCGTGTATTTGTTGGGCGTCCAAAAAAGGAGGAAAACCACGAAATCAAAGAGACATTTCCAAATTGTGGGTGACCCACAGCCTACCGAGCATCAGTTCCATGGTTCAACGTCATGAATTGGGTTAGCTCATCTCTGTCCACATGGCGGTGATACCCGGCTTACAGGGCCGTACCATGGACGTGGAAACCCAAAGCCGTAGTGTTGGGTTTGGGAATGACGACCCGTTAATCATGGGACTTGTATTTTGCTTTTTACGTGGTCATAGATATTGTTGATTCCAGTGGATTTGAAAACTTTATCCGTGCTGCCTGTGATAGTGATTGTATATGATAATGACTATGGCAAATATCAACAGTAGCAGCTCTTATGATCGTAAATAGTTAACGAATGACATGACATGGCTGCGAAGCAAAATAGAACTGGAGCGATTCGTCGCTGATGAAACGTAAAGACACGATGCAGCGGGGTATTGCAATGAATGAACACGATGGCCTCCTAGAACAAGATAACATATGTATAAAAAAAGATCGAGAACAATTCAACGGGTTCGTTTAGAGTATCCCCCAGAATTGCCATTCCCAGTCGCCGGTCGCTTTTGTCCCGATCCCATAGCAGCGGCAGCGGCAGATTCAGCGATACGGATCAACGATCCTAGATGGAGAAGATATGGCTTTGGGGCACGGTTGACTTCGATCTTGCGGAGGATGTCGCGCAGCCGGTTGGCGCATTGGTGAAGGTCCACCGGCGGCAGGGAATCAAGCGCGTGAAGGACAAAGTGCCGCGCGTCTGTTTCGGAGTCTGTTTCGACCGACCCGATGAGCAAGTGGTATAGATTGCGCTGGTCCTCGTCTTCGCCGTGGAAGGACTGCCGGCCCAGGGGATTTCCTTCGAGGGGATCATTATTGCGAGCCACGACTGACTCCAGGAGAGACACGAGGGCTTCGGCGGCGCCTTCCGAGCCGTGGGGGGCACGCGCTGCGATGTTGACTTCAATCCGGGACACAGAACGCTGGAGCTGTGTGACGACATCGTTGACCTCTACGCCCAGTCCTGGGATCACGGGGTCCGCAGGTAACTCGCCGGTTGTGCAGTATCTGTCGAAGTCGTTGAGTAGTCGGCGTGAATGTTCTTGTACTTTGTCGAAGTAGATGGCCGCACACGCGCCTGCTGGCATCGCTTTGCAGAGGCTGTTAAAAACCCCGTCGTCGTGCATTGCAAGCCGGAACATCGTCGCTTCGAAATCTCCCTGAACCACGCATTCCTCTGCCGTTCGTGCTTGCTCGGTTGTCTCTGTCAAGTCCCGGCGGGTGTCTTCTGGGAGGTTGCGGTTGAATGCAGAGAAGATGTCCCGGACCTTTTCTGTCCGCGTCATCCCATCCTCCTCCTCCCGTAGGTACTGCCACTTGAGCTGCGTTGCGACTGACATTAGATTACCCTTTAGGAGGTCCTCAATGCGAGGGAGGCGGTCCGGACGTCCGTCTGGAGTTAGTGACACCTCCGTCGACCGAGGCGTCGGGAGGAAGCAGCCGTGCAGTTGGTCGACGAGCCACTATTCAGGCGATGAGGGGTTAGTATTATCGGTTCAAGCCTTTTAGCTTTCAAGCTTCCTTTCCCAAAAGGCTATACTTACAAAGATGTGCTGGCAAGCCCCGCTTGGTCGATCCTGGAAGACGGCGCAAGTGCAGGTAGATGAGTCCGCGCCAATGTGCACCTGTGGCCGATCCGACAGCTGGAAGTCATAGCCGGCGGGAGTAGAGCGACAGTTGATGACATCAAAACGGCCGGTCAAACCCACAAAGGCCCTGGCTTCAGACTCGGAATCTAGTTGGCTGAGGTCATAGGTAATGCCGGACGTGGCGAGGACGGAGGCGCTATTCGATTCGGACTGTTCGACTCCGCTGCTTTCTTCATCGTCATCCTCGTCCTCCTCTTCTCCATTACTGGAGCTTTCCTCTGAAGAGCTATCGTCCTCCCCACGATCACTGTCGTTGGAAGTGTCCGACCGCCCCGCGCGGGCCGCTCTAGCAGGCAGGACTGTATCTGGCATGTTTCGACCAATAGACAGCCTGTGAAATTGCCCTGTTGGAGCGGACATGGCGAAAAGAAAAGGGAGAAGACAAGCTCCCCTTAAGGAAATCAAAGAGGGGCTACAGATTGCGAAGAACAGACGTATTTCCCACACGGTGGACTTTCGTAGACTCACAGAGTTCTTCCGACCCATGGACGGAAGCGGGTACACTGAACCATGGAACGGGCTTCCCTGGCGCCCGCTTTAAATAATCAGGGGCCATTGAAGACACACACTATGCTTTTCATGCTTTTGTCCTCATTCCACCTGCGCAAAATAATTGCAACTTTCACGAGTGGGGGCGTTGGGTCTTTGGATTTTGCAAGGGGGGGTTTTTTTTAACCCCCAACAGCGCGTAGTGAAAGGTGAGTGCTTAGGTAGCAAAGAGGGGGAAATTTGGAGGCTCAATTAGAGGTGCCGCAGGAGAGAAAGGAAGGGGTGATGTCTCAACAAGGCTGCGCCGTTTAATCCTACCTAGCACCATCTCATGGGATCAGCATCATCGCGCAGCGCACAGACATCCACTAATGGGGGATCCTGTGGAAAGATCTGGGGCTTAGTGGCTGGCAACCAAGAACAGATTGTGAACCCGAGGATGGCTACGGCGGTCTCCGCGGACACAGGGCCATGTCTCGTAAAGATGCTGCGCTGTTTTTGTCTGAGAGCAATACATGCGACTGGAAAGAATGTAAATAGAATCAACAGAAAGTTAAAATCTTGGTATGTGTATGTAGATCCCCGAGAGTCGCAAGTTGGCTGATTCTACAGTTGGCCAATGCAAAACCTGCATATCGTACTCGCATGTGTAGACGCTGTTGGCGAGCTCGATATTGAGCTTGATGCAGCGCATGGACGATGCCGCCGAAGCTGGGGAGATAACGAGTATAGGGGGACACTGTACTCCCAATACGGTACAAGATAAACCCAGCCCATACCTCACAACGTAGAGGCGCAAGCTGTGATCGCCGCCCGAGCAACCGAAAGCAAATTGGAAATTGTTTCGAAGCTCCAGAACAGCATGACTCGGACCCGCCACCTGGAAAAGTTCCTTTTTCTTGACAATGATTGCACCGTTGTATTTTCCGTGGTGGGGAATTACTAGGATGGATGCCATGGCTCCCGGATAGGTCGGGCACCCGAGGCTCTCTTTTCTCCAGTTGCCACACGGCCAGTCCACGCGACAACCATGCCTCAAAAGGAAAACAAAGAAAGCGCGCTAAAACCCCTGTTCATCAACGTGGGTTGAATGTGACAAACCATTCCAAATGAGGGCTTCTTGGCGGACATGGCGGGAACCCCGATGAGAATTCCGATGCTCCAGTCCCCCAATGATGGCGAGCGCAGCCGAGCATAGGCAAGAGGTATACGCCGCAATGTCCTTATTTCTCCGGTACCATATGATGTCTCCAGGATCATCAAAGATGCGTTGGTGATAGCAAGGGTCTGCCTTGCATATCGCGCAGAGAAACCATCAATCATTGGAAAGTGGATCACCGAAGTGTAACCGAACAAGACATGTTAAGTGGTTCAAAAGTCCTGCGCAGGATACTATATTGTCTGCGGCGTTCTTTCGGCCCCAAGTTGTCCGGGGATCGATATCCATCGTATAGTGCGAGGGCGCAGCGAATCCGAGCGCGACGCACAGGGAATTGTGCGGCACAGCAAGACCCGCGACCCGCCATATTGGGTATTGGGTTTGGAGGTAATCCTCTATCCCTGCAAGTTGATGCGGCCCAAGCACCGTGGCATCTCGAGACAGGCCTGTTGAGCTGCGGCAGGCACTTTTGACTGCGCAATACCGTTGATCGGCAGCAATTGGCGTTTAGCTCAATGGCTTGGCTATCGCCTGCCAATCACCACCCCTCGGCGCCTAAAAAT